GGGTCGCAGCTCGCCTCAGGAAGGTTGAAGTGCACTCTTCAATCTTCTCTCTTGTCTCTGCTCCAAACCATCAGCTAATTTGCTAAGGTTCTGTCCTTTCAGCCTCCTTCTGGACGGGAGCTTCTGTAAAAAGCTGGCTGCAGTTCGCCATCTTGGCTCCGCCCCCCTCCTAATTTACATGTATTTATTGATTTTACCGATTTCCTTTTGCTAGCAATTTGTCTTTATTACATTGTCATGGTTTGAATTTTTTTAATTTATTAAGATATTTTTCATAGCCTAGCACATGGGCTACCCTCTACAATGTTCCATGTACACTTCAGAAAAATGTGCAGTCTGCTGTTACTAGATGAAGTGTTCTGCTTATGTCTAATGGTCTAATCAGTTTACAGTGTTTCTCTTGTTTTCTATGTGTTCATTGATCCTTTCTCCCTTTGTTCCATCCCTGGTTGAGAGTGAGGTGTTGAAATCTCTGACTATTACTGAAGAGCTGTCAGTTTCACTCTGAAAACTGTCAGTGTTTGATTCATGCATGTTGGAGCTCAGATGTTTGGTATATTCATGTTTATAATTTTTGTATTTATCAATATGCATTGTCCTTCTTTATCTCTTATAAAAGTTTTAACTTGAGGTCTAATTGTTCTAATTATCTACCCTAGCTTTCTATTTATTACTGTATGTTCAGACATGGAATATCTCTTTCTGTCATTTTCTCTCAACCTGTGTTTGTCTTTGCTTCTGAATTAAGTTGCTTGTAGAGAAATAAATCTGGATTTTTTTTCATTCCATTTGTTTGAGAACTTAAAGTATTTGCATTTAATTATTGGTAGGAATGGCTCACTTTTCATTTTGTTACTTGGTTTCTCTGTGTGTAATAGCCTTTTTCTCCATTATTGTCTCCCTTCATGGTTTGTTTGATATTTTTGGTAGTGACATTTTTCCTTCTGATTTCCTTTTATATATATTTTACATCTATTTTCTTTGTGATTGCCTTGGGGATTACATGTAACATCCTTAAATTGTAATAATCTATTTTAAATTGATACCAGTTTATATTTAATTGCAAAAATTCTACTTCTTTAAACTTTTTTCTTCCTCAACTTAGTTATTTATGTCATAAATTGCATCTTTAGATATTGTGTAATCATTACACACATTATTAGTTTTATTTATTTGTGTTTTCTCAAACATAAAATAAATAAAAAAGAAATTAAAAAGTGGAGTTATAAATAAAAATTATAATAATGCTGGTTTGTACATGTAAATATTTATTAGTGCTTTCACCTTAACTGGAGATCTTTATATCGTGATATAAACCCATGTTCTTGTCTCCTATGCTTTCACTTCATCCTGAAGGTCATCTTTACCATTTTTTTCCTGGATATATCTAGAAAAAATAAAGTAAGCTTTTGTTATCTGGTAATGTCTTGATTTATCTCTCTTGTGATGGAATAATTTGCTGGATATAGAAATCTCATTGGTCAGGTTTTTTTTTTTTTTTTAATTTGATCACTTCAATATATTCTCCTACTTCCTCTAATCTCCAAGGTTTCTGCTGAGAAATCAGAAGACACTTTTACTAAGGACTTTTTGGTATGCAATAATTCTATATTTTGTCTACTTTCAAAAGTATTTCATTGTCCTTGGCTTTTCCTGTTTGGGTTAGAGTGTGTTTTGGTGCTGGTCTCTATAGGTTTTTGCTACATGGACTTTGTTAGGATTCATGAATTTGTAGATTCAAATATTTCATCAGATTTGGGATGTTATAGTTATTATTTCTTCAAATAATCTCTCTGACTTGTTTATTCTTCTTTTCCTGATGTTCTAATAATGTGCATCATTGGCCTTCTTGATGGTGTCCCATAAATTCTTTAGATTTTCTTCATTTTTTATTTGTTCTTTTATCTCTGTGTTCTTTAGTTATGTTAATTGTGGGTGTCCCATCTTCAAGCTTTCTGATTCTTTCTTTTTCTGTTCGAATATGCTATTGAATCCTCCTAGTGAATTCTTCAATTAAGTTATTGTATTTTTCACCATTTGAACTCCTGTCTGGTTAATTTTTATAATTATTATCTCATCCTTGGTATCTCATTTGATTCATGTAATTTTCCTCATTTCCTTTAATTCCATGTTCTTTTTTTCCTTCCAGTCTTTGAACCTATTTAAGGTACTTGTTTAAAAGTCTTGTCCAGCAATTATTATGGCTGCGTTACTTCAGGAATACTTTTTTCAAATTTATTTTTTCCTCAGCACAGGCCATGCTTTTCTGTTTCTTTTTGCCCTGAGATTTTGTTGTTTTTGCTGTGGTTATTGAAAATCGGGCTTTTGAATAAAATAGATACAATATAGAAGTAGCCTTTAACTAACTAATTGGGCCTACCATGAATGTAGGAATTACCCTTATATAAAAGTTTATGTTTTTTCCAGTTCTTTTCTGAGCATGCATCTTGTTAGGGCTTGTATATGGCTTTCTTCCCATATGTTCATGGCTACTTTGAAATATCTTAATTTCACAACATTTTACCTCAGATTCTCCCCAGGCTTCCCATGATCCACTGTACATCATGACTCATAAACTTTTTCTCCAACCTATTCCTGCAGTTTTCATGAGCAGTGACCTTTTGAGATTTAGAAGAGATTTAGAAGAGACAGAGAGACTTGTCCTTCAGAAAGCCTCCACACAGGTTAAAATGTATCAAACAAAGTCTGGTCTAATACTTCTGGTTTGAAGGAAAGAATTAGGAACTGCCTTGCATTATCTTAGGTAACTGCATCATCTCTTCCAACCAAGAATACTCCATGTGTGGGATAAGGGGATTAGTTTAAATTCCAAGAAGTTTACTACTATTTTCAATTTGGCTTTTTCTTGATTGGGTATTTACTTGATTGCTACAGATCTTTGTTTTCCATAGCTCCTGCGAGGTTATTTTATCCAGTTGATGATTTCTTTCTTTTTTTTTTCTTAATATGGACTGCTTCACAAATTTGTGTGTCATACTTGTGCAGGGGCCATGCTAATCCTCTCTGTATTGTTCCAATTTTTTATATGTGCTGCTGAAGCAAGCACTTGATGATTTCTTTTTTGATGTTTCCATATGGGAATGAAGATGTGGAGCTTCCTTCTGTGCTATTTTGCTGAAATCATTCTCCAAGTAATTTTTTTTTTATTCTGTATAACATTCTATTTTATGGATTACTGTACTGTTTAACCATTTATCTACTGAAGGACGTCTTGATT